TATATATATATATATATATATATATATATATATATATATATTACCTAATAAATTATGAATATTTTAATAATTTAAATGAGAACAAAGATGATATGTAAACGAGGACGAGACAGATATATAAACATTCATTCCATCTCCACACCCAATTAAAAAAAAATTAGATATAACTCATTCATACCCATACCTAATCAATGTGTCAAAATAGGAACAAGTTTAAACAACACTCAGGAATACAAATTTATTTGTCATTCCTAGATACATCAAAGACAACACACATTACTTTAATTAATTAATATTTCAATTGTAAGTTTTTGCTAAATAAAGTTTGGAGCATTCATCTTCAATATTACTATTAATAAATGATAACTAATAATATATCACACCTTAATAGAAAGGCTAGTGTCTTTTTAGGGATACAACACTAAAAAAATAGTTAAACATCAAGAAAAGCTAGCATATATTAACAAACAAAAAATAGCAAAAAGATGTTATATATGACCCCACCTACACCAATCATTATATATACATTACTAAACTTAGTCTCATGATGCAAAGCTACATTGATTATAAAAAAGTCACGTAACAATTAAAAGAAATCATTCTTTCCACAAAAGATCACAGGGACCTTATTAGTTCACTTTCTTCTCCATAAAAAAAAAAAAGAAATCATACAATGAATTTTTCAACCTTTTCCATCTTATTGTTCTCTCTTTCCTTGATCATAGTTTCTCATGCTCCTTTGCCAACATCAGGACTAACCTTGCATGAAACTTTATGCAAGGAAACCAAGGAGAACGAGGCAAGGTGCCTTGAACTTCTCAAAGAAGATCCTAAAATCGCTGCTGCTAAAGACATCACTGAGCTTACAAAACTCATCCTTAAGTTAGCCCTAAAAAAGGGCACAGAAACCCAAAATTTCCTAAAAGATATGATGAAAACAGACCCTTCACCAGACCTTAAACAATGTGCAACTACACTCTATGATGGAGTCATTGGATCATTCAAAAGTGCTTTGGGTGAATTGGGTGAGGATGATATGACAGCAAGTTATGATGCTGGAGTTGCCAGTGATGGACCTTCAACTTGTGAAAGGGCATTGAATGCAGCAAAGACAAATCCTTCTATTGCAGCTCATGACAAAGACATCTTATTGCTCAGTGCAATTGCATTTAAATCCATTGAGAAACTACCCTCTTAATTAAGAGTATATATATCATTGCTAGAGGAGAAGGGTGTTGTCAAATGTTTAGGTTTCCATTGTTAGTGTCTCGTGTGGAAGGATGCAAATCAATCAAACCATGCATTTCTCTATTATATCTTCACTACAACAATGAAATATCATTATATTAAGTATTTTACTTTTTTAATTGTTAATGTAGTTCTTTTGGTGGTAAATTGTTAATTTTAAAAAAAATGTCATTACAAGTACCTATGGTTGTTATCATTAAAAGTCTATGGTAGTGGGATAACTTTGATTGATGAAAATGATGTTTTCCATCTTTGAGGGTCAAATTCAGTTGTCTTTTGTATAACTATTCTATTAATATAAGGGTTTTTTTTTCATACATGTACAAAAGTATATTGACTAAATTATATTTGTGTTAATTTTTCTAGAAGGAAAATAAAAGAAAACAACATCTAGATACATTTAATATTGTTTCTCACTTAACACGTTCTTTTTTAGAGAAATTAATTTCTTTAAATTGTGCTTGAATAAAGATAATTTGGATAGAATAATTCAAAACTCTTTAAAGTTTTAATTTAAATAAGAAAATTTAATTAACGTGATGTAATTAGAAAAAGATAGAAGAGAGAAGAAAAAAAAAGATAAAAATGAGACAATTTCGTATTGACATTACAACTCTTACGATGCAAGTTGATGATGGTAGGGGGAAGAGAAGCTTGTTAACCTACTTACGATGGATGAAAAATGAATTCTAAAAACTTTGTATTGACATTAAAACTATTAGTTTCTCTAAATTATTGATATGTAAAAAATAACTAATATTGTAGAATTCAGATTTTTTTTATAATAAACTCTAAATGGAAAACTTCACAATGCAATATTTTCATTTGTTCCTGCCCCATCAATCCGAATTGTGAACACACTAATCAATGAGGATAGTGTAATATGAACTCTTAATTATGGTTTCCTAGTTTAAGAACTCCTTAACCTTTTTCTTTATTTTTGTGAGAGTCAAACTACTCAAATGGTTATTTTTATAGCAAGGTACCATCAACTAATTTACTCTTCTCATGAAAACTAATTTGGCTCCACAAATTAATATACATCTTGTATCGTCCGGTCACTTGGCACCACCAGACTAGGTCGACAACCGGAATGTGTATCGTACGGACTCATGGGCACCACCTAGGCCAACCACTTAGGGCCAACAACCAGGTCAACCACTAGGCCGATGACCCATGTCGACCGTCCGGTCAACCGCCAGACCGACCACCTAGGCCAACCACCCGGTTGATCATTCAGGCCGACCATCCAGGTCGACCACCATATCAAGTGGTCGACCACCCACCAGGCCGACCGACCACTTAGGCCAACCACCCAGGTTGACCACATGGTTTGATTATAAACGATAATAACTCATTAAGCCCCTAAAGTAGATTAAGGTGTGATTGGGTTGTCATTAGGCCAACGAAAGGTAAAGACTCATAACGACTAGTATAAATAAAGGTCTCAGGTATGACTTTGGGATCATGATGCACAATATACATGCATTACTTGCTTTTGCCAACCGTTGGGTTACATTACTAACTTGAGCGTCAGAATTCCTTTGACAGATGTCCGCCTACACGGCTTGGCCAAGGAGGAGGGAGAACAAACAACGTATAACTCGGAGGAAGGAGGACCACCAGGGAGCCCGTTCGCCTTACGTGCCAACTGAAGGACCACTAGGTAGCTCGTCCGGCCTTCGAGACAATCTGTAGTGCTTTGAGTACGGGACTTCAACCCTATGCCCGGAACACATACAAAACTTGAAAAGTGAACCTAATCATTGGTCCTATAAGGGAGCTACAACTTTTTCTAACAAAGTAATGTAATTTTTTTAAAATAAATCAAAATGAGTAAGTTTTAAACAATTATCATAAGTCATACAAAAAAAATATAACTTTAAGTTATGTCAAAGAAATATAATTTTAAGTTGTATTAAGGAAATATAATTTTAATGCACAACATCTTTAAAGTTAAAGTTGTGTTAAAGTAACACAACTTTAGTTTAGAACATTTTAAGTTAAAGTCGTGTTATCTTGACACAATTTCTACCAAAATAAATTAAAGTTGTGTCATCTTGACATGATTTTAATTTAAAATGTACTGAATTAAAATTGTGTCATCTTAACACAACTTTAACTTAAAAATGCTTTCTACTAATTAAAGTTGTGTGATCCTAACATGACTTCTTCTTAATGAAGTAATGTTAAGGTGATACAACTTTTATATCCATAATTCATTTTAAAATTGTTATCTTGATAAATTAAAAAAAAAGGTTTAATACATCATTTGGTCCCTAGTTTGAGGCGTTGTGTTCACAGTCGCCCTATTTTTTAAAAAAGTTCATTATTGTCCAATATTTCGTTAAAAATGGTTCAAGTTGGTCATTTTGGCTTACGGTGTTAAAAACATAACTGTGCAATGATGTGGCAATTGTGACATGTCCAATTTTTTATGACGCGACAATTGTGACTCAATTGACGTGGCCAGAAACCCTAATTTCCCTAAGGCCAGAAACCCTTGTGCCACCATTGTGAAACCCTAGTCGTCGTCGTTGTCGTAGAACGAAACGTGCCACCACCAAGCCCTCTGGCCATCATGTCGTCGTCACCACCATCAACACAGACCTAGTAATATAATAAGAAATTTTAAATTCGACGTTAATCAAATTGACATCAAATTTTGTTAATATTCGACATTAAGAAATTTTTTTGGTTTTTTTTAATTAATTGTAATCCTTTTTTACAACTCTACGAGACCTGAAAAGAAAAAAACAACAAATTTCAGTTTTTGGTATTTTATAAAGCATCAACTATGAACATGTAGTATAGTATCAACAACAAACAACAATAACAAACAACAAACAAGTTCAATCAAACAACAACACAACAACAATAAACAAGTTCAACCAAATAACATCAACAAACAAGTTCAACAAAAAACAACAACAAACAAGTTCAACAAATAAGTTCTTCAAAGAGAAAACGAAAACGAAAACGAAAATAACCTTCAAAAGGTGGGTTCATCGGAATAAAGTGTTTCCACCAGTGAGAGAGAAAGCAGAATGCGCCTATGAAGGACAAGAACACGAAAATAATCGGTCAAAACAAACGAAAGTTATACATAAAGTAGTTAATTAACATGCATTTGTATCAAATGAAAGAAATATTACATGTGATGGTCGTCAAACTTCGTTCGAGAAAAGTTTGAAAAGAGAAGAGGGTCTCGCGCACTAAGATAAAGGGAATGAATTTTCAATCTCCCGCTCAAATTAAAAAGGGGAAACTTTTGGCTGACAAATAATACGTCGAATCTCCTACAAAATTTGACGTATTATATGTGGTTTAAAAGAAAAAGGAAAAAAAGAATTAAAAAGGGTTTACTTTTTGGCTTCTGGCTGACAAATAATACATCAAAGCCCTTACAAAATTCGACGTATTATTTGTTGTTTAAAAGAAAAAAGAAAAAAGAATTAAAAAGGATGACTCTTTGGCTTCTGATTGACAAATATTACGTCGAACCCCTACAAGATTCGACGTACTATTGGTGATTTAAAAGAAAGAAGAAAGAGAATGATGCGTTGGTTTAAATAATTACCATCATAAAACGTCGAATTGAATGGGCTTTGACGTTCTACAATTGCATTTATTTACAAAAATGTCACCGGTCATTTTTAATGTTGGTTGTTCAGTGGTTGGACGTTAAACGTGTGACGTTATACGCTGTTTTTGCACTAGTGAATAATTTATCTCGCTTACATCAGTTTATAGGTGATCTAATGTAAAGTTGTTCTACTTATTTACAAAATGTTATCACGCATTTTTTACATCTATCATTTTTATTTCAGACATAAATAAGGTGACATAAAAGACAATTTTTATGTTAGTGATTATAATTTCAAAATATTTTTGAAACAAGAAGTTCACTTCTACAAAATATGTTTTCTATTTTATGCTTTCCTATTTTCTTTTGTAGTATCTTTATTATTGTTCTTATCACTTTCTTAATAAATATTTATAATTTATTCTTCTTTTGTCCTTAAATCTCACAATACACTTTATATGGATGATTTTGTTAAGAGGTCCTCAGCAAGTAAAAAACAATTAATTAATAAATGGTTTAATGAGTTTAATTGAACACATCTAATAAAATAGAGATGAAACTAACTAAATATATTATGTATCAAGAGGTAACATAAATTGATTTATTCATCTTCAAATATAATCCAAAAAGTAATTAGATAATAAATTAATAGAAAATATAGTGTTAAACCCTACTCTAAAACTTCTCTTAGATAAATTTTATCTTAGATTTGTTTTAGTTTTTATATCACAATACTCTTCATTACATTCTTTTTTTCTTGGTAAAAAAATTAAACACATATGTTTTCGTATGTAGAATCAATTATACTTTGCAAATATCTCCAAAAGTTGTTATTTTCTCATACTCTAATCTTTTAACTCACAAACTGATATAACTTTTTGATATCATCCTCTCACAGGCTTAACATAGGATTGTGTTTGTAGAAACGCTTAAGTTAGCTAAGTGTGTAAATAACAATAAATGTTATAGTAATGAACATAATTGATGTACCTCAAGTATTGTGTTTTTTGTATTATAATTATGAATTCTTATTTTGATGACCTTAGTATAATTAATTATCTTGTTTAACTCTTAATATACTCTTAATGATGTTTTAAATATGTGCTTTAATTAATTACAATTGACCATTACTAATGACCTGGTCATTTAGATATTATCCTTCTCGATATGTTGTCAAAATTTGTTTACATGTAGGTTGAATACATCTCAACCCATATGATCGAGGTGTAGTCGACCTTATATATAGAGTTTCACTTTATAAATATAGGTTTAATGTCTCTTTAGGTCCCTATTTTCGGTCAGAATCTCATATAGGTCCCTTTCTTTTTCGGCGTCTCAATTGAGTCCTTATTTTTGTAAAATTG